GTAGTTAAAAGTTTATATAACCCTTCCAGAAGACCAGAGTTCAGACCTCAGGACCCATGCTGGGGAGCTCACGACCACCTATAACTCCAGCTCCAGGGGATCTGACATCCTCTTCTACTCTGTGGGCACCTGCACGCTATTCTTGCAGAGGACCCAGATTAAGTTCCCAGCACTCATATTAGCTTATAAGCACCTGTAACTCAAGTTCCAGAGGACCTGATGTCTTCTGCTGGCTTCCACAGGCACCAACTATACACATGGTATACTTAACATACATGTAAGCAAAACACTCATACACAAAATAGAATAAATAAATCTTTTCAAAAATTAAGGTAGAGAACAACTGAAGAAGATACCAGACATAAACCTCAGATGTATAGGTATACTCACATGTACACACATAGATATGTACATTACATATACAAGAAAAAGTTAAAAAGATAATTTTTAAGAGTCCTAAATTTAGTGAGTTGCATTTTTTTTCCATTCTAAAATTTAGAGTTTTGAATAAAGCCTTCCCAATAATTTAGATCACACTGGTCCCTTGTGATTAGTGCTTGTGCTTGACTGTCTGGGGTAGGGTGGTAGTAGTGGATTTTCAGTATAGTTCTGAATGTAGAGTCTCTCTAAAGAAACTATATACTCACTTATATACTCTGTAGCCTTCTCTTCCGAGTCAATCCATCAACTTTCCTTTCTCTCTAAAGCAGTATTAACTGCTCTTGTGCTCCTCTTATTCCTTTTTTTTTCTTATAATATTTATAATTCAGCTACTGAATACCTACTATTTACTAAGTGCTGGGGGCATAAATAAAAAGTTGTTTTTAATTTATGGAATATGGTATTGCAGGGAATAACCCAGGCCTCCACTAAAAGACCCTGAAATAAATAATCAAGAGCAATTTATAAACATTTGGCCTGTTTTCCTTGTTTTCAGTATTGGAGATTGAAACAAGAGATTGAGAAATATTTAAAGATTACACAGCACAAAGAGAAGCTGGATGCAATGGTTAACACTTATTGTCAACAGGATCTAGGATTCCTAGGACATTCGCCTCTGGGCAGATGTCCTAGGAATCCTAATACCTATGATGTATTATCTAGTTTATGTTAACACCCACCTTAACTTTGAACAGCACTACTCCAGGGGAAGGAGTCCGGAACTGAATAAAATGGAGAAAGTAAGAGCTTGCTGGCTGCCTGTGCAATGTGATCAGCAGCCTTATGATCCTACTGCTATACCTTCGCTGCCCTGATGAACTTCTCCTAGAACTGTGAGCCAAAATAAACCCTTCCTTTCTTAAATTGCTTTGGTCAGGTGTTTTGTCCCAGCAACTTGTAAAGTAACTAATACACCAAGTGTGCTGGTGGTGTACACCTGTAATCTCGGTACTCTGGTGGCCAAGGCGGAAGCATGAATCTAAGACATACCACCTAACTAAAAATACAGATGCCCCTTTGTTAATATCTGAAAGAATTCACATGCATCTCCCATAGGGCTAAGTTAGAACCCACATTTCTATATGAAAAGGGAGCCTAAGCTCCCCATTTCCTACCTCAACAGCTTGCTAAAGAGAAAACTAAAGCTTAAGTATGAGGGGTCTCTCTGAGGCACATACCTACCTAATGCAGAGACTGGATGTAACACAATTCAAGACACCAGACATTCATGCAGTATTCTGCTTAGAAGAGTAAGTTTCAAATTCTACTGTAATGAAGGAATAATTTATGCACATATGGCTAAGAAAAGAAAAACCTCTAAAAACATGTTTTCACTTATGACTCAGCAGGTTCTCAATAAATACACTTTTAACCAATATGAAGAAAATCCAGAGGCCATCATCCTAAAAATTAAATATGCATTACTAGCTTTTCTGAACTTATGGGACATTAAAAATTGCTGGGATTGCATCTAAATTGCTTTTTAAAAAAGTTCTAAAATAAGCAAACAAACCAACAAACTTAAGAATGTGGAGAACTGATGATTAATATACCATCAAATCCAAGAATCTTTTCCAGAACATTCTGACAGTTGGCCAACCAATTCTGTTTGGATGCCTTCAGGGACAAGTTGCACTTTAAAAAGAGTGCAGGAGCTGGGCATGGTGGCACACACCTTTAATACCGGTACTCAAAAGGTAGAGGCAGGTGGATCTCTGTGAGTTCCAGGCCATCCTGGTCTACATAGTGAGCTCCAGGCCAGTTGGGGCTACAGGGAGACCCTGTCTTTAAAAAAAAATGTGCCGGTCATCCTCATACCAACCATACAGTTTAATTAATTACAGGGATATTTGCTAAGATCTGACTGTGTCCCCCAAGCCATGGGTGTAGAAAACATACTCCCCAAATGCAACAGTGTAGGGAGGTGGCATCTGGGGGAAAGTGTTTGGGTCATAAGGATTCCATTCTCATAAATGAATTTATGCCCATTATAAAAGGGCTCAAGGATGAGAATTTGATAACCTTGCTCTATCTTACCATGGCTCCTGCCACATTATTAAGAAGGTCCTTACTATATGTGGTTTCACCGATCCTGGACTTCCCAGCCTCCAAAGCTAAGTAACTTTCTGTTTATTACAATCACCCAGTCAATGATATTCTGCCATAGCAATGCAAACAGACTAAGACAATATTCTCGGCGAGGAACCCAAATTAGTTTCTCTGTAGATTTTTATACATAAGAACCAATTTTGTTCTCAGGAAAATATTGGATTACTCTAGTTTCTTTTTAAAATCTTTCATGTTTAGCCTTTCAAATAATTGAAGCTAGTGATGGGCCCAGCATTCCGTGTGTGTGTGTGTGTGTGTGTGTGTGTGTGTGTGTGTGTGTGTATTAGGTGACCATGCATAAATGACACACTTCTGTCCCTGCTTGTACAGCACTGGATTACAGGTATGCATCCCCACACTGAGCTTTTATGTGGGTGCTGGGGATCTGCACTCTGGTCTTCATGCTTGTGCACTTACCAACTGACCTGTCTTCCTAGTCTTAGTATTCCCCTTTTCTCTTCTGATAAATATAACCAGAATATTAAGAAGCACTTATCAAAAGAGCATACAAATCATTTTAACTCCAGTCACTACAGTGAAGTCCCAGGTGTTGTGTCGAGTTCTCAGAGCACAAAGGGAATGAAACCTACTCCCCAGAAGAGATCACAATACAGTGAGGGAGAGAAGCACAGATGGAGAAAAACTCGACCTGGAAGCAACAGGTTCTAAAAAGAACTGTCAGAGAAAAAGGAAGAGATCTAGGCGAAAAATATAGAAGACACAACAGTGGGCACCATGCCAAGTTAAAAAACTTGGATTCAAACTAAAAATTTGTCAAATTATTAAACACTCATTCACTCTAATCTAAACAAAATATGATTGGTCTTAATGAGAACCTATACAGAAACATTATCACTATGCAAATTAAACAATACTATTTGCTAAATTAAAAAAATTATTCTTGAACAGATCTTGAAATCAACTGTCACTATAAAAATTCCTAAAGAATGTGAATAGTTTTCCTGATTTCTAGAGTAAAATGTGAAATACTGTCTATGGGAAGAAAAAAATTTGTTATGGCCTCCAAGAAAACATTCTTCTCATTCAGTAACATCCTTTTCATGAAAATTTAAAGAATTAAAACATGGATATTCAGGATTCCAAAACAATGGCAGCACAATTCATTGATGGAATTTTTTCTTTGACCAAGAAATTCACCCAAGATACAATTTGGTTGAACAGTACTTAATGTGAAATAGCTCAGATCATAAGTTGTCATCTTTAAATTATTTAAAGCCATAAGATGTAAAAAAATGATTAAAACTCCTGTGAGCACACAATCATGTGTAAGACCCAAAGTGCCCATCACTCTTCCTGTGGGTTTTCCTCAATTCCAACAGCATTTACTTACCATTTCTGTTGATGGTAAAAGGAAATGAAGACACTGCTCAGTTCTATGCAGTGTCTTTACAACATGGACATACAATTCTAGTGTTAGATTTTAGTATTTAATACATTCGGCCAACTGTCTATAATTAATAGTTATTTTCATCTCTACATGGTTCTGAGAATTAGGATCACTTATAGGACCAGCTCCTAGTAAAAATCAGAGGGTAGATAAATCTGAGAATGCTTCTTGTTCTTTGATTTATTCTTTAAGCCACTTGTTCCTCTCTTTAATTTCTTACTTAGGAGACACTGTTCATACCTGATTATTTACAGCCCATGGGACATCATTCCCTCTAAAGAAGGCTCTCTTAATGGGGTAATTAAGAGGGCAAGAGTAGGGGGCTGGAGAGATGGCTCAGCAGTTAAGAGCACTGACTGCTCTTGCAGAGGACCCAGGTTCAATTCCCAGCACTCACATGGCAGCTACGAACCATCCTTAACTCCAGTTCCAGGGGAATCCGAAGCCCTCTTCTGACTTCCACGGCATTGCACGGCATGGGCGCACTCACATACATGCAGGCAATACACTCAAACACATCAATAAATAAATAAAACATTTAAAAAAAGAGGGCAAGAGTAGAGGGAAAAATCTTTTAAGACTCACCTGAGGAACATTTCCAAACTGTACCCAACAGTACCACAACCACAGAAAGTGGATGCTTTAGTGGTGTGTTGGAGACAAAATAAGACAACAGTTAAGGTTTGGCTAGAGGTGATTTTAGAAGCATCATTACCAGTGCTACTAAAAATAATCCACGAACGAGGGGCTGGGGATTTAGCTCAGTGGTACACTCTTGCCTAGCAAACAAAAGGCCTGGATTGGTCCTCAGCTCAAAGGTGGTGTGTGTGTGTGTGCGCGCACGTGCCAAATTGCCAAGAAAGATAAAAATAAAAAAAAACAAGGCAACCAAGAAGGAGTGCAAAGCCAATGTACAGGACTTCTGATAGTTATTTCTACAGAGATTCGGTTTCCCAGCTAGAGCTGTAGGAAGGCAAGAAACCAAAGGGAAGCAATTGTTTATATTACATGCATACATAAATGACACACTTTCAACACTTACCTCCAATATTCTGAATTATTATGGTGCCTGCCACCACCACCTACAAAAGAACAAATGTACTTAGAAGATAAAAGGGAAAAATATAAGAGGATCAGAATTTTATTAAAATTCAATAACTAATACAATGAAAACAGATGAAGAATTCATGATTGAAAACACTGGAAATAAATTTTGTCAGCTGTTTGTACTACATGAAATTAATAAACATCATATAAAGTCTTTTAATAGCTTCATAACTACTATAAAGAATATTTCTGAAATTTTTCTTGGCAGTCATGTTTGAATAGTTAAAAGTGTTATAAAGAGCTAGTAAGTGGTGAATTGAATTTGAATTCTTTCTGGGGACGCTTGTGGTCCCTGTAGCCCCAGCTGGCCTGGAACTCACAGGTAGACCAGGCTGGCCTTGAACTCACAGAGATCTGCCTGCCTCTGGGATTAAAGGCATGCACCACCATGCCTGGCTTGTGGTCCCTTTCTTACTGGCTTTATCACACCGCTTCAGTAAGCAACCCAAAACAGCTTGGAGTGTGCTGTGCTAATGCATAAAAGAAACTAATAATCTTTAAAAAAAATTTACTATTTTTATTTTATGTATATGAGTATATTGCTTGCATGTATGGAAATGCACCCATGTCATGCAATCATCCCCATGGCAGTCAGAAAAGGCATCAGATCTCCTGTAACTAGAGCTATAGACAGTTGTTAGCCACCATTTGGGTGTTGGGAATCGAACCCTGGTCCTCTAGAACAGCCAGTGCCCCCAACTGCTGAGTCATCTCTCCAGCCCCCGATATAATCTTTTGATATCAGCTTGGCCTATATCCAGTCTTTGGGGCATACCAGTCTCAGGGGTTAATAGCAGAAAACTCTGGAGCCCATTCTCAGACCCTCCCAAATTTAAGCAAAATGTTTCCAATTCAAAAACGTGATATAAGTTGAGTTTAAACATGCGGTAGTGGCAAGGACGACAGTAAACTGCAGAACTCCCTCCTCAGGAGTTCCTGCCTTCTGAGCATTGCCCAGTTGGTGGCAAGTGAGAAAGTGGATTCAATGCAGCCTGATCTTCTAATATTTAGAGGAAGTCCCCAACTCGATTTTTTCCCACTTGCATGATTAGCTGGCATTTAAAAATAATTTAAAGCCGGGCGTGGTGGCGCACGCCTTTAATCCCAGCACTCCGGAGGCAGAGGCAGGCGGATCTCTGTGAGTTCAAGGCCAGCCTGGTCTACATAGTGAGTTCCAGGACAGCTGGGGCTACAGGGAGACCCTGTCTCAAAAAGACCAAAATAATAATAATAATAATAATAATAATTTAAAAATAAAAATAGCCGGGCATGGTGGCACACGCCTTTAATCCCAGCACTCGGGAGGCAGAGGCAGGCAGATCTCTGTGAGTTCAAGGCCAGCCTGGTCAATAAAGTGAGTTCCAGGATAGCTGGGGGCCAAAAAAAATTTTTTTTAATTAAAAATAAATTTAAAAATAAAAAAGACTGAAGTTAACAAAATATGCCTAAGGACTAAGTTCAGTCTAGAGGATTGCTAGTTTCTGATCTTGGACGAGACTTCTGGGAAACTCAGAGAAAGGTACTCACAGGAAATGGTTTAATATTGAATTTTCACTTGGGCCTTCCAATCACTCAAGTGCCAGTGGACTGTAACCGCCAAATGTTTGGATCTGACCTTCCACTCCTCAGCCCTCCATAGACTGGGAACAGATCACACGTGAGGCTCACTTCTGCTAAGAATTCCTTCTGTAACAGAGACCACCTATCCTGTAAATCATCTAACTTACTGGGATCTCGAGTCCATAAGTCTGCAAAAGAGGGCTAACAATTTGAGAATCTGGCGAGACTTCTACAGATGTAGCAATGGCCACTCTAATGTTTTCTAGAAGGAACTTTGCATCTCAACTCACTTAAATATTAGTTCCCCCAAACTCACAGTGGTTTGTGAAAAGACTATTTTGAATGTGCGCATACCATCTTCTGTTTAAATGAATCCTGACCAACACACATGAAATATGGATTTATTTTTATGAATACATTTCAAAAGCAATAATATCTTAGTATTAATTCTTTTTCTGTTCTTTGACTAAATTTAAGTATAGAAAACCAGAATGAATGCCTGCCTTTCTATCTAAGTTTTCATAGTCTACTACAGTGCATGGCATGGTTTTTGCTCAATACCTATTTATCTGGTAAGTAAATACATAAATTTAAAGATAAATTTTCTTAAGTTTCCTTAAAAAATTTCAAAGATATTTTATTCTCAGAACAAAATTACCCTACCATATTTCATATCTGGAGAGAAGAAAATGGGAAAACAAAACTCATTCAGAGCCCTTTCTGTCCAGCATAGCCGCCTACTATGAGCTGGGCACATCTGCTCAAATGATGATGCAGCAACCGAAGCTCAAGAGCAGTCCACACTCTTCTTTTAGGCCACTGCTTTTACACAGGGATATGGACTACAGCTGTGAAATGACAGCGATGCCAGTGTGGCCCTGGATTCATACCTACACATCATAGCAAAACAATCAGGGAGTTTTCCTTTTACCCCCGCCCCCGTGTGTGTGTTTGTGTGTGTGTGTGTGTGTGTGTGTGTGTGTGTGTGTGTGTGTGTGTGTAATCATACACATGCACCCACCTGTGAGGGTATGCTAGCCTAATCATGCATGGTACATGTGTGAAGGTCAAAGGTGACTTTAGAAGTCTTCTTCTATCATCTTCCACCTTATTTTTTGAGGCAAGGTATCTCACTACACCTGGAGCTAGCTTTCTGTTTGGGCTGGGCTGGGTGGCCAGCAAGCCTCTGGGATTCACCTCTCTTTGCACCCCTCCCCTCAGCACTGAGAATACAGGAGCAGGCTAGCATGCCCAGGTTTTATATGGGTGCTAAGGATTTGAATTCAGATCCTCATGCTTGAATAGCAAGGACTTTAGCCACTGAGCCATCTCCTCAGTCCAGGGCATTTCCTCATATAAACACATTTTCTTCTTCCTTGGTCAAACTATATGTAGGAAATTGATCTGTGATTACACTAAACATTCTGATCTCTAGGAAAGAAATTGTTCTCAGAGAACACTAAGAAAACCTTTGCCCTCAAAATAATATATTCCCTGTTTGTTCAAGGTTCAGATTATTAAGATCTAAGCCACAAGGCTACCAAGTATATGATTTAAAGACCCCCTTCTATACTTTAAAAGCAAAGTTAACTGGAATATAAAAAGTTTTTCCCCTTAATTGCTGTACCTTTTTCCTCTAAGACTCACTCCTGAGAAATCAGCTTTGTTATTAGATTAAAAACAAAAGAGTAAGTATGTGAGGTAATCCATAAGTCAATTAGTTGAATTTTGTCATTCTATATTGCATACACATTTCAAAATACTATTCTTTATCTGCTATATGTGTATAACTTTTGTTTGTTAATTTAAAAATAAGGGCAAACAGAAAGTACTAAAATAGATTTATAACCAAAGAAAAGTTCCTGTTTCAAACCAAAATAAATATGGGTTTTAAGAATTAGCTTTTCAAAAATTAAAAAAAATTAAGTACTCTAACACTAATAGCAATGTTTAACTCCTGGTAAGAGGGAGAAATAGACAATGTTTCCCCTCAACTTTAAAATCAAAGCACATATCAAAAATGAGTGCCCAATAAATGTTTTGCTGTTATTTTTACTATTTTAAGAAGGAAAAGCAGTACAGAGAGTCTAGTCCTCAGATGTGGAACTGGCTTTAGGTCCCTTAACAGCTTTTGTCCTTAATTTTCTAGGGTAGACTCAATGGGATACCTGGGGAATCACTGTTCAGCTCTTAAATAATATGATCTATGTAATTACTGCTTTTGTAAACAGCCATGCTATAAGTTTAATTTTATGTTAATAAGGAAAACATTATTATTTCATGTACATTTATTTATTATTTTATGTTATGTATATGAGTGTTATGCCTGCATGTATGTAACTGCACCCATGTCATGCAATGCCTGTGGAGGTCAGAAGAGGGCATTGGCTCCCCTGGAACTGGAGTTACAAATTGTTAACCACTATATGGGTACTGGGAAACAAACCCAGGTCTTCTGCAAGAGTGGCCAGTGATCTTGACTGCTGAGCCATCTCTCCAGCCCTGGAAAACATTACTATTTTACAATTCGTTAAGTCATCAACAAGATGTAAGAACTGAACTGGTTTATTGATGTGTTTTGGGAGGGGCACAGAGATTTCTCTTATTTTTGTTCCCATCATTCCATTTCTTCATAGTTTCATTTCTTTTTATTCTCTTAAGGCCGTTCAGTCTTGTACCTCTTTCCCTCTCCTCCCTCCCCCTCCCATATATACCTTTTATATATGGTATATATACTTGGAACAAAGGAAAGAAATGCCTTTTTAGGCTCTAGACACAATGAGGAAAATAAGGAAACTACCTTTCCAGGTAATCCAAAGGCAAAGAGTCCAAGGTCTTCATAAGATGTCACAGCTGTTATGAGAAAGTGTAACTGTCACTTGTGAAAGGTATTTTACTATTACAAACTAAGCTTGTGTCATTTTCAGAATTCTAGCCAATAAGGACTAGTATGAGACACTCTCTCTAACACCCTGGAATAAAAGCAGTAGAAAGAAAGAAGGTTGTTAGCCAGACATGGTGGTTTAATTCTAGCACTTGGGAGGCAGAGGCAGGCAGATTTCTGTGAGATCAAGGCCAGCCTGGTCTGCATAGCAAGTTGTAGGACAGCTGAGGCAACAGGAAGACCCTGACTCAAAAGAACCAGAAGAGAGAGAGAGAGAGAGAGAGAGAGAGAGAGAGAGAGAGAGAGATGAGAGAGAGAGAGAGAAGGAGAGGAGAGAGGAGAGAGGAGAGAGAGGGAGAGGGAGAGAGGAGAAAGGAGAGAGGGAGAGAGAGGGGAGAGAGGAGAGAGGAGAGAGAGGAGAGAGGAGAGAGGAGAGAGAGGAGAGAGAGGAGAGAGAGAGAGACTGATTTTCTGTAAAGGTGTTTGATAATTTTCTTCATGAAATCTTAATTTCCATCCCCCCCAAATGTAGGGTATTTAGATTTCTTTGTAGAATATGCCTCTTTACCCACAATAATGAGTTTTTCTTTTAAAAAAAATCAGCAAGGACTTCTGTTACATTTCTCCAGTGTGTCTCATGTTCTTATTTTCTTTCTCAAATGCATATACTAAGATTATTTTTCATTTTTACTGTTTCTGAATACTGTAAGAAAACCAGTGTCAACACAGTAATACTGGTTACCAATTAACAGCCATTTATCTACCTATCTGACACCTCTCTGTATTTATCTTAAGTCAGTCTAGGTAGGCCACCAAGGGTAGATTTGTATTTCACTAAGTGTTCTGAAATACAGAAAGCAGCACAAAAATATTCAGTATTAATTTTGTGAACTCCTGTAGTTGAGGTCCACATGTCTTATAGCTATTGGGCACAGATTAAATTTAAAGTCAAAGTACTAACTTTTAGGAGCCACCTTTAAAGATATATGCTTTGTAAAGCTAGAGTCCTCCTAGAATAGGCAGTTAAGGAACTCCAGATTAAATTAATTCATATGACACAATTACTTGAGTACACCCAGACTCCCCATGCAGTACCTGGGTACTTGAACACTGTGTGGTTCACCAGGTACCCGTGGAAGTTTCCACTAGCAAGAATTTCTAAAAATTGGACATTCAACTAAAGTTAGGTAAGGTATGACAGCTGTACCATATTTTCAGGGACATTTACCTTTCCAGGTTTCTAGTGCAATAACGTGTTCACAATGGAAACAATACTTTTATCCTATAATTAGTAGGGCACATATTTTCTTTTTTCATCATAAAAGAGTATTAAATTACATTCTCACTTTATATGTTCAAGTAGTATGATTATATTAAAAAGATGAAAATTCAATGGCTTATAAAAGAACCACAGTATATTCTCAGCCTGCCTTTGTGTTTTAACTAGTGGTGCCATTTGTACAGCTTCATAGTTTGAAATGTGAAAACCCCATATACTTACACTAAAGAGAAAGAAGGCTAAGGGGTAGCAAGGCTTTGGATGGCAATACATATTTTCTTTTTTAATATTTTATTTATTATTTTCATTTTATGTATATGAGTGTTTTGCCTGCATGTGTGTAAGTGTGCCCATGTCATGCAATGCCCTCAGAGGTCAGAAGGTGGTGTTAGATTCCCCTGGAATTGGAATTATGGATGGTTGTCAGCTATTATGTAGGTGCTGGGAATTGAACCCCGGGTCCTCTGCAAAAGCAGCCAGTGCTCTCAACCACTGAGCCATCTCTCCAGCCCTGGCAACACATATTTTCTATTGCTCTTAGATGTGGCTCATTATTTAAAACAGTTTAATCCAACCTCTCAGGATATACTTGGGTTTTCTTTTCAACTTCCACTTATGAACAAAGCACTCCTTTTCGTATTTTCACATGAAGGGCATAAAAATAAGCTTTAAAAAACTGCAGGGTTTTTCATATTCAGGTACATGAAAATAAGCTTTTTAGAAAATGTAGATGACTTCACATATTATTCACTATGAAGCCAAGAAGAAAACAGTCGAATACTGAAAAATCAGATGTTTTGATAATTAACAAATTTTTAATTTTAATCTATTATTAGACTTGGAAAATTCTTTAGATAATAGATACAGCTATTTAATTTTTTAAATTATTTATTTAATAACCACATACTTAGAAGAAGCATTTCATTACAACAGCATTGACATATTCAATAACAATTTCCCAAGCT